CGCAGTCCCTGTGCTTTGCCAAGCTTGTTTCAAGTAGGTGCTTTAGACCACTGAGCCATCTCTCCAGCCCAAATATAAATTCTTTTTTTTTTTTTTTTCTGGAACCAGGGATTGAACTCAGGTCCTTGCGCTTGCCAGGGAAGCACTTATTCTACTGAGCCATCTCCCTGGCCCCTTGAGCCATCTCCCTGGCCCCTTAGCCCATCACTTTTAAAAAAAATTTTTTTAATCTACTTATTTTATTTATTTGGTACAAGGTATTGCTATGTAGCTCAGACTTGTAGTGATCCTCCCGTCCAGCCTCCCCAGCACTGGGATTACAGGTGTACACCATCACACCTGGTTTCAGGGGCTGGTACTGTGCACCTGGAGTTTTGGGGTTGGCGTGGCATGTGGTACCAGAGAGTGAACCTGGGTGCTTGTGCTTGCCAGGTAGGCTCTTAGACCTCCAAGCTATCTCCCCAGCCCTCCAGCAATCACTTTGAGCTAGAGAATTGTTTGCTTAAAACTACATTACTAACAGATTAATTCTTTGGAATTCTTGTTTTGTTTTTTGCAATCATATCAATAGTTTTTCTATTTCCTTAATGCAAGACCATTTAATAATTTTGCATCCTGCAGCCTCTATGGATGCTTATTATATTAGTCACATTATATAAACAGTGAGCTATTTGCTTTTTGTGAAAAAAAAAAAAAATTTACATGTTCTTTGTCCCGTTAAGCACTTATTGGCCCACATGTCTGAATATCATTTCTTCTCAATGAGTACTTCAACAAGAGTTAACAGTGATACTTGAGACATAACTTATTTTGCACTGAGCCTTCCCTTTCTTTTAATTTTTTTTTATTTTTTCCTTTAATTCAGCTCTGGCCGGGGAGATGGCTCAGTGGAATAAGCGCCTCTCTCGCAAGCTCAAGGGCCTGAGTTCAATCCCCAGTTCCACCTTTAATTCAGCTCTATCACAGACTTTGTGGAGGCATTAAAAGTGCATTAATTGGGGCTGGAGAGATGGCTCAGTGGTCTAAAGCACCTACTTAGAACAAGCTTAGCAAAGCATCAGGGACCGCGGTTCGATCCCCCAGCACCACATGCCAGCCAGCCCCGCCCCCTGGTGGGCTGAGCTGGCCACACACACACACCACACTCTCTCTCTCTCTCTCTCTCTCTAATAAATAAATAAATAAAAATTAAAAAAAAAGTGCATTAATTCTTTTACAATTTATTTTACCAATTTTAGCTATTTAAGAAAGAGCAACTATCAGGATATGGATTCTGGCACAATGTAGAGTTCAATAGCAAAAACAAACCCAAGCTGAAACAATATAAAGAATGAGGAGGGCTGGCCAAATAGCTCAGTGGATTAAGGCACCTGCAAGCAAACGCAGGGGCCGGGGGTTTGATTCCTGGGCCTGTCGTGCCAGTCCCGCTCCTGAAGAGTACTGAGAGAGCAATTGACACTGGGCGTGGTGGGGCACGCCTATAGTCCCAGCTCTTGGGAGGCTGTAAATAGGAGGTCACCATGAGTCTGATTTAGTACAGAGACCCTGAACACCCTGTAGACCCTTCCCTAAAAATTAAAAAAAAAAAAAATGAGGAATAACCTACTAGATGTTAGATATGCCAAATTTATGGTCCCTGAAATAAAATAATGATTCCAAGGGACAATGGACATTAAGAGTAGGAACAGTTTATTGAGAGGTAGCTCCTGAGAGATAGGAGAGGTTCTCAAAGTGGATTGCTTCCAAGTTCCTTTGTCGGAGGTAATTTATACAGCAGTCACAAGTACAGCTGCTTGGCTAATACTGATCCAACAGGGAAGCGAGTCATGCAGCAAGAATGCCTGGAAAGAACTAAGGCGTTTGGGGAAGGGTGGGGTCCAGATGCTCTGGTCATCCACTTGGGTAGCTGATGTCTATCTGGACTTTACTAGACCAGGTGATACCTATCACAGTATAATCCCAAGCTATTGGTTATCTCTCAGGTATGTAGGCCTGGCCATTGCATCTTTATGGAAAGTCCTGGCCTTCGATAGATACAACTCCAGCCAGTTTCGTTGTCTCGAGGCCTTGGCCTTATTTGAGTTCTGATTAATTTCTATCTACCTTAGGTGTCATAATTTCATTATTCACGTTCAATATGGAAAGATAGTCTGCTACTTTGCTACATAAAAAAAATGCAACAAAAAGATTGTAGTTTTTTTTCTGGCTTTAAGTATGAAAAGATCCTCTAAAGACTTCTCCAAATACAGCTTCTCTAACTTCAGTGGAACACCCATCTCTGACAAAACAAAACAAAAAAGGGAGATATAAATAAAGAATCATTTTGTAGTGAAAAAATATGTGTGTATATAAAAGATAGTTGTTTCTCAATAAAATTATGGGGAAAAAAGATAGGATAGATATACAGCTACTTTCTCTTAGTTCAGTGAGAAGAAAGGTTTGTGTTAATAGTGTTTAGACAAGTTATCATGTCTACATCTTGTCCTCTGAAAACTACTATGAGACAGCAAAATGCAATGTATTAATTATTGTAACTGTCCTACTAACCTGTTTTGAAACGTTTCATTGCTATTTTATCTTTTTTCTCACTGAAATGAATAAAAGATTTTAAAAAATCATAGTTTTTATAATGTGAAAGACAAAAGAAAAGAAAGAAAGGAAGCCTATAAATACATATCAGGCTATACTTTATAATACAAAAGACAGAACACCTGACTATAGTTATTCGTGTGCACAGAAAAAGTGCTGCCATTGGTTTTGGATAGTACTTTCACAAAGACACTTAAATGTTTTTCTTTCTCGCCCTTCTGGATTTTCAGGTTTTTCTACAATGAGTCTGTAGTCTGTACGTCCCCTAACGAGGAGAGCCTGCCTGCGCCATCTCCTACAGGCTGGACAAAGGCAGGAAGGAAGGGGAGACTAAAGGAAGGAAGGACGAGAAGGGGACAGAGGGAGGGAAGAAGGAAAAAGCTGGATTAAAGTCTAGTTTCCTGAAGCAGCGGGAGCTGAGTGCTCTTGAGAGCTGGAAAACTCAAGGAAGTTGTCCAAACGTTCTGGTAAGGGGCTGCCTCCGAAGTCCAGAGCCTCCTTCCTGTTCCCTGAGAGAGATAATGAGCAGCAGGAGACATTTCTGGAGGCTTAGGGTGGTGTAAAAATCAAGCTAGGTAACCCTGCTCCTCCCTGGATGGTGAGTTTCAGGGATCCTCCCTGGTTCCTTAATGCCCTTAAAAGACAGATGCATCTGTGGAGGAGCGAAGAGACACCTGGACTCTGACCAGGGGAAGGAGCATTTTGAGGTATTAGGGGAGGTGCTGGGAAGCCTGGGGCTCTCTCCTGAACTCCAGATCCACATCACCAGAGTGACTAAGGTGTTCAGTATAAGGAGACCGAGGACCTTGCTGACTGCCTGGGGCCCCAAAGCCCAGCATCGTCTCTGCTTAAGTGTGTGGTTGTTTATTTCAAAACAGGGGCATCTACACACTGAGGAGCTCAAGATGGTCCTGAGTGGGGCACTGTGCTTTCGGTGAGTGTCCAGGCCTCTGACTTGGTGTTGACTCTGAGGAAAGCGAATCCCAGGTAGACCTGTTGTCCAGCTTGTGAAAGAGAAGGGAGGAGCTGCAGGGGCTCAGTGGGACTCTCACGGGGGGAGCAGGCAGCTGGGGAGTGGGGAGCTAAATTCATTTGGCTCGAGAGCTCTTTTATCTTTGCTCAGGTTGGAGCAGGATGGGGCAGGCCACCTCACAAGATGCCCTGATGCTAAGGGGGGACCATGACCGCTCAGTCCAGAGCTGTAGCCTGGTCTATCCTTAGGGAAGTCAGGAGTTGGCAGCCCCCACTGAAGCTCTGCTGTTGTCTCCCATAGCAGAGAATTTATGTCAGCCTTTGTGTCACTTCCTCCCTGTTGCCTTTTTATAGGAGATGGGGTGGACTAGAATAAAACAAAAACATTAGTCTGTCTGTCCATCCGTTCCTTTGATATGCATTGAGCCAGGCACTGGGCTATGCTCTGCAAGTTACAGCAAGGGCTCAGAGTGATTCTCTCTGAATGGAGTCTAGTATGCTCAGCTCTTTGCTCCCTCAGAGTCAACCCAACTGTGGGTGGAAAACATTAAAATCATTGTATCTGCTCTGAAAATGGTCACTTTGGGGTCATTATTCCCTAAGCAATACAGTACAACAACCATTTACGTAGCATTTATGTGGGATTACGTAGTAAGTCATTTGGACATGGTTTAAAGCACATGGGAAGATTTGTATAGGTTCTATGTAAACATTATGGTGGGCTTGGTACCTGTAGGGGTCCTGGAGCCAATGTTCCTTGTGTACTGAAGGATGACATTGTGGCATCTATGTTTTGTGGGTCTCCATTCTGTAAGATGCTTTGGACAGGGAGTTCTCAGATCAAGTGCATGTGGGAATGCTGCTCGATGTGGCTGCCTGTAGAAAGTCCACATCAGAACTCAGTGCACTCGGGGCCGAGTCCTGACTTTGTGGACACCTTCAGCTTGTGGAAGAGGAGGGCAAGAGATGGTGTGGGCAGACGATAGGTATACAATATAAGGGAGGAAAAGAGTCTTGTTTCCGCCCTCCTTTTGGCCCTTGCTGCTTCTGCTGTCTCCTGCTGCTTTGAAATGCTGCCCCTGTGCTGTGCCTTGGAGCCCGCTGATTAGAGACTGAAACCTCCACAGCCTGGGAGAGCTAAATAAACCTTTTCTTAAAAACAAAAACAAAACTCACTGCACTGAGTCACATGACTTGTTTAATCATGCTGGACCAGACATGCAACATCTGGAGAAGGCCCTTGAGGTGTAAGCCTTTCAGCTGACAGGCTACCAGAAAACCAACAGAGACCGTGCATGAAGAACAACTCGGCACAATCCAGTTTCTCCTCTGGCAGAGAAAATGGAGAGATCGGTGGGAATAGAAGGGACTGAACAGGGAGAAGGTGTAAACCCAGAAGGGGACGGAGGATGCAGGCTCATGCCATCAGTGAAGCTGAGTGAGAAGGTCGTGTTGGGTCGTTGGCACCCTGGGACTAGAGAGAGACAAGATCCTGGAGGCTGGAGGATTTTGGAGCCTCAGCAATCTGGAGGCCTCTCCCTCAACAAAGCCTCTTCTGTTTCAGAATGAAGGATTCAGCCTTGAAGATGCTTTATTTGCGTGATAACCAGCTCCTAGCTGGAGGGCTGCATGCAGAAAAGGCCATTAAAGGTTGGTGGCAGAGCATGACCCAGTGGACCCCAGGTCTCTACTCCGTGGGGAGGGATCTTACAAGGCCTTGAGCAGTTGTATAAATCAGCCCGGGTTTGCAGACCCCAGATCTGCTGGTGCCATACACCAGGCTTCCAGCAAACCGAGGACCCAGGCTTTGTACAGCCTGAAACCTCTGCAGAACATTCCCAGGTCACATGGCTATCTCCCTCATAGGAAGACTAGATCAAAATTCCCGTTTCCCTGGAGTGGGTGCTGAGGAGGGAACTAAGCTGTATTTCCTGAGGGAGGGGCTTATTCCCCGCCTCACTCCCCTTCGCTCTCTGAAGGTCGTCAGGTGCCTGGAGCGGTGGGAGCAGACAGCAGGTGGTGTTGTGTGGCCCCATGCTAATTCATGGGCCCACATAAGGGCATCAGGCTTTTCTACAACTGAACATACCTGCCCTCCTGGGCATTCTTATGGAGGACTGGAGCCAGGCGGCTCCCTCTGCTACATTGTGTGTGTATGTGAGTGGGCTGGTAAGAGCATTATGTGTGTGTACATGTGTAACACTGTCATCTGCAAACCACGTACATGTGTTAGGGTTATGTATGTGTGCATATATGTGTAGACATATAAGAGCATTATCTATATGTGTGTACAGTGTGCATATGTATGTGTTTGATCTATATATTTGTAAATGTATGTGTTTGTATGTGCACGTCTGTGCATATGTGTGTATGTGAGCAATGAGTGTGCATGCCTTGATGCCTGCACTGGGCCTGCTGGCAGGAGAGAAACCCTACCCAATGTGACATGCTCAGTGCTTTCCTTCGGCTTAGGTGGGCTCAGGTGTCTTGTACTGGTCCTGCACCTGGAGCCCAGGGTGTAGGGTACAGCAGACAGAAGGGTCGCCGAGGTTCCTGAACTTTGCTTCTCCTTTCCTGAAGGTGAAGAGATCAGTGTTGTCCCCAATCGGTGGCTGGATGCCAGTCTATTCCCAGTCATCCTGGGGGTCCAGGGAGGGAGCCAGTGCCTGTCATGTGGGACAGGGAAGGAACCCACTCTGGAGCTAGAGGTGAGTCTTCCTGGGGAATCCTCCCCACACAGTGAGTAAGCCCACAGGCGCAGAGCACACGGGCTGTTGCAGTGCACTTCAGTGCACTGGGGTACCCTTGGGGTACTGCCAGGCGCTGCCTCCTCCCCCAAGCCTTGGTCTCACCTGGCCATCTATCGGCTGTCCCTGCCCCTGCCCTCACCTGCTCCTCTTCCCACAGCCAGTGAACATCATGGAGCTCTACCTCGGCACCCAGGAGTCCAAGCGCTTCACCTTCTACCGCCGGGACCTGGGGTTCACCTCCAGCTTTGAGTCAGCCGCATACCCAGGCTGGTTCCTCTGTACAGCACCTGAAGCTGACCAGCCTGTCAGGCTCTCCCAGATCCCGAAGGATGGGTCCTGGGATGCCCTCATCACAGACTTCTACTTCCAGCATTGTGACTAAGGCAATGACCCCCAAGATGCCCTGGGTAGAGTCAACTCCGCCTAGGCCAAGAGGATACAAGATGAGGCTCACCAGAGTTGACTCCAACCCCTGCTCTTGGGACTCTTCCATCTGACTGACAGGATACACAGCCTCTCGTGCTTCTCCTGGCCTTGTGTTTTAAAGAATTCTTCTGGGATCTGGGGCTTGCTCCTTCAATTCCTTCTCCACTAGGTAGTATGACCAAGAGGGAATCTGGGAAAAATCACATGGGTACACTGGGGGCAACATTAAAACTAACAGAGAAGAGGGGTTGGGAATCCTTCATGTTGGATGGGACCTGACCTGATGCCTGGATTCCACCTAGAGTTCCCGGCATTCCCCCAGCAGGAAAGGGAGGGGACCTTACAGTTAAGCACACCCCTAACCTTACCATCATCTGCGGGCTTCTCCATCTCTGCCTCATCCTTTGACTCAGTGGAGAGAGGGTGATGTGTCAGGGAAGACGGTTCCAGTTCAGAAGACAGACAAGCCTAGACAGGAGGAAAATCTCTAGTGGTCCTAGTCTCTACTCACAATGAAAATGTGCAGGATGTATTAAGTGAGAAAAGCATGTTAGAAAGTAAACTTTCTTTTTATGTTTATGCATAAAGATACCCTGGAAGACTGCACAACACTTATAGCAATGTTTGTGTGGTAGGACTGTGGAATACTGTACTTTTTGTTTTTAAATTTATTATCTGTAGTCTCAATTTTTCTAAAATGAAGGTGGACCACTTATACAATAAGCAGAAAATAAATCAGTGTTGAGGCAAACTGAGCAGACGTAATTTTTCACTATCCTCAGTTTCCTGTTACCTGGAGTGAAATGCAAGCTCAATCGAACTTGGCTAGAAGGAGCTGGGGTCAGGAAAGAGATCCCACCCAAGTCACTGTAGCTGGAATCACATGAGTAAAGGATTTACTGAAAGAGCAGGAGCTAACCAAAACAAACAAACAAACAACAAATGCAATTTTAAAAATCTCGTACTTTGACCTGGAATAACTACAGCGTGCCTGAGGATCCAGCATCCCAGAGGCCCGCTGTACTCACAGAACAATGTTCGTCCCAAATTCATGGCTTTCCTGAGACTCAGACTGGAAACTTACTTGGAGATAGAGCTTTTGCAGATGCCCTTAGTTAAGCCTGAGACATTTGGGATAAGGGTGGACCTAAGTCCCGTATGATGACAGTCCTTATCAGAAGAGGCCACAGAGACACAGAGGAGGCACAGGAAAGAAGTCTAAGTGACAACCTAGGCAGAGGTTGGAGCTATGCTACCCTAAGCCAGAGGATGCCAAGGATTATGGCCACCACCAGAAACAAAGCAGAATTCTTCCTACAGCTTTCCGAGGAAGCATAGCCCTGCTGACGGCTTCATTCGCGGCTTCTAATTTCCTGAATTGTAAGAGAATAAATTGTTGTTTTAAGCCAATAAATGTGTCGTAATTGACTATGGTGGCCTCCGGGGACTAATAGAGCTGCTGCTGATACCTACCTCCAGGAATTCATGCCCACATGGATTCTCTCCCACACAGTAATAGAGGTATTTCTGCAACCAGCGGAATGGGGCCACTCCTGAGTTTAGGTTATGAAAAACATTCTGGCTTCTTTGTTTCAATTTCTCATCTCTTGCTCATTCTGGATGAAACCAGCTTCCATGCTTCCACCCTGTCAAGACCCATGTAGTGAAAGTTGGTGTCTCCTACTGACCACTGCATGCGTGACTGCAGAAGCAGGCCCTCCAGCGCACTCGGGACTTTGGCAAGGCAGCCAGCTGACGACAGCCCGTGGGCGTCTGAAGCAGCATCACCCAGCCAAGCTGCTCCAGATTCCTTCCTCTTAGAAACCGACTGAGCTAATCAGCGTGGGCGGTCTCTAGGTCCTGGAGCAACTTGCGCAGCCATAGGTAGCTACTACCCAAGGAAAGAGAACAACACACTTCTTTTATTATGATTGCAATGTCCTCTGATCTTTTCCTTCTCGAAATGAGTACTGGATCACTACTAACAGGAGTACTCTATCTAAAAGCTGATCATGCTAAAGGTGTTATGTATTCTGCTTCCCCAGGGCTTAGATCATCTCTGACTACTTGTGTACCCTTAGTCCTGCGTGCCATGTCCTGTCTCCAGTGTGCCTATCTGAACCCTGGAGGCCAAAGCAGAAGCCAGAGAAGGGCCCATTTCTGAGTCTCTTGTATTCTACCTGCAGCCCACCTGTCAGACCAGCCTGGCAGGTTCAGAGCAAGGAGCTGGCCAGGCCATGGGCCTCAGGAGCCCCAGGTCAGGAGCAGCTGAGATTCCCACTATAGGCCTCTCAAGGCTGCAGAGAGCATGGGCCCGCACACGCTTTACATGCGCCTCTTTATGAGAATGCCAGGCATGGACTCGGGGGCTCCCTCACCTGTCTTCTCTGCTTAAAGAGATTGTTTATCTTTCCATACTCTGCTAAGACATCACCTCCTCTGAGAAACCTTTGCTGGGTTGAGATTCCTGGTCATCTGCTGTGGCAATATCTAGAGCACACTGCCTAACTCATATGAAGTTGGCTTAGAATCCATTGGCCCCATTGCCATTCAAATATTGTAGGTGTATGAATTCGGCAAAATAACCCAATATAGTTCAGAAGTCCATAATAGTAGTGGGTTGTCCACAGAACTGGCAATGCCGGAAGCTGTTGACTTGAGTCTCTTACAGCTCAGCATATTAATATGGCTTTACTTTTTATACCTCATTTTCATACTTTTCTGCTGGATGGTTAAGACCAAGATAAAGCAAGACCTATATAACAAGAAATATAACTTTTATATCTGACAAGATCAGTCAAATCCCTGCAGGATTTACCCTGAAACTCTGTACATCAGTTTGTAGATCTTTTGTCAGTGACAGCCATCTGAATGGGTCACAGCCATTGCTTAACCAATTGGCTCTCTGTGAAAGCCTGAGAGAATGTTTTCTCTCTAAGTGACTCTCCTTAGGCACACTCTACATCGTTGATATACCCATCTCTGACAAAACTAAATTAAAAAGGGGGGGATATAAATGAAGGACCATCTTGTGGTGAAAAAAAAATACATATCTGTATATATGAAAGAGGATACATATACAGCTACTTTCTCTTAGTTCAATGAGAACATTTTTTTTTCTTTTTCTTGTTTCCTCATTTCTTTATTATTTTTGGCATCTAAAATTGCATTTATTTAACCATACTCAGCAGATGATACAGCAAGTGGGTGAATAATTCAAGCTATAGCATACTGAATCAACTGAAAACAAAACTTGGTTGAAAAGAGGCAGAGGAGCTTTGTCTTGCAAGAATCAGAACTGAGGAGCTCCATAATCATCTGGCATTCATTCAATGTTGTATTAAAATTTTTACTAATAGTGTTTAGACAAGATATAATGTCTGCATCCTGTACTATGAATAACTACTATGAAGACAACAATATGCAATGTATTATTTATTGTAACTCTCCTACTAACCTGTTTTGAAACTGCCTCATTGCTATTTCTTTCTCAATAAAATTAATTTTAAAAAAAAAAATTTAAGAAAAGAATCTACTGGCCCCAGGGATGGCTTTAAATTTAGAGCTAGTCTGTTTCGGAGCATTGAGCATAATGCTTGGCAAATAATTGGAAACTGCTGGCTATAGAATGTGGAAACTCCCCATCCTGGAACCTTCTCTTGCTCTGCTCTACCCACTACTCCCTTAAAGAAGTACTTCAAATTCTACTTCATTCTTGAAAATCTCTCCAGCTTGAAATGATTGCTTCACTGTTTGTGGCATGACAGAGCTCTAAATGACCTTAGTCCATGTGATTGGATTTAAGTTGATGGTAAAGAGAAGAATATTCTTTAGGGAATGTATGGAGCCGGCAGGCCTCATGGCAGCTAAGTGGCAAAGACCTAATGGGTTTAGATTCCTGCAATTTTGGCATAAAGCCTAGGTCCAGGTACACTGTTACTGAAGCAGAGTGTTCCCATCACGTAGGCTTTGTGCGAGTTGTAGACACTGAGGAGCAAAGAAGTTCCTGAGACTACATGATAGGGGAGGAGGCAAAGGCACTGCCAGTCTCTTCCCTGAAGAAGCAATGCATAGGGAGCTCCTTCCAGGCTCCCAGTGGCCTATCACAGAGCAAAACATGCCTGTCTATTTAACTCCAGCAGGCACAGTAGGACCAAAGGATAGAACTTATGTGGAGACTGTTTGTCCTACATGATCCAAAAATGTATTCAAAAAGACACTGCCGTGAGTGTTTCTTCATGTTGTGTGGGATGGCTGTGAAGGCGCATACCTGTAATCCAGCTATTCTGGATGTTGAAGTGGGAGGATTGCAAGTCTAAGCTCAGCCTGAACACCTTATCAAAAGCTTGTCTCAAAATTTAAAAATAAAAAATGTTGGGGATGTAACTCAGTGCAAAGGCCCTTGGTTTAATTTCCAGTACCCACAAAGAGAAAGTGGGGGCAAGTACAAGAAAGAGAGAAAGGTCATGTTGTCCCTTCCTTACAGATATTGAGGAAGAGTCTGATCAACCTATTTCTTAGGAATGACAGTACAGATTTCTCCATTTTGAGGGAGACAATGTCATATCTAAGGTCATTTTAATTCTAATTTTTTTCATCCAACCAGTTTCTCTGCTGCTATTGTTTGAAGCATGTTCTTGATCTACAGCTTAGTGAGTTTGGTCTTTTAAATTATCTTTGAAATGCTTAGGACTTATCTCCCTGCTGAACTGTAAAGCTGCTTAACAATACAGACTGTGTACTGTATATGTTTTTGTCACCTAGCAGTGTAGACATTAACACCGCCCACTTTGGCCCTTCTCACAGATGAGTGAGAGATTGGGTAAAGAGTGAGCATTTGCCAGAGAAAAAAAAATCTAGACTCATTTCTGCCCATCTTCATCCATTTCTTATCCTGTAGGTATCTGGGTCTTGGGCTGACCCTTCTCATTTCCTTATCAAACCTTTTATGGAACTTTATGAAAGGTTTGAGAAAGAAAATTAAATAAGATTGCCTCCAGAGACTATGATGCCCAGGCTTTTCTGCCCCTTGTCATAGATGGATGGATGGTTGGCTGGCTGGCTGGCTGGCTGGCTGGATGGATGGATGGATGTTTGGATGGATGGATGTTTGGATGGATGGATGGGTGGATGTTTGGATGGATGGATGGATGGATGGATGGATGGATGGATGGATGGATGACTAGATAGGTTGATGCTTCCCCAGAGATAGGACTGAGTATACTAATATTAGTTAAGAACTGATATTTATTAGTTTGTTAACCTTCTTCTGCTCACATTGGGTATTCTCTAGAAGTTCATGCCACCTGGCTCTTGCCCAGTCATGGGGTGAGCCTAAGGTTACTATCTTCTGCAGCTGAGTTTCCTTAAATGCTCTGTCTCATCCAGCTAGTACCAACTAATTAAACCTATTGACAAACAGAGACTCTCCTCCCAGCTTTCCGAAAAGGGACACACTCACAATCTATCAGCCCCCATTCTCATTCTGTACCCTGAACCCACCCTGGTTTCCAGCCCTAGGGGTTGCTCTGTCCTTGGCCCCTTCAGATGTACTCTCTTGCATTCTCCATCTCTCCAGGCCTCAGAAGGAGCCCTATGGGGCATCCATGGCATCTGATCCCAGTACTGTTCTTCCGGGTACTAAACCATTAATAACAGTCAATGACAGTAGCCACAGAGTGGGGTTCGGTGTCTGGCCGCTGAAAGGCTTTATGGGAGACTCTCTCTTCCTTCAACAAGCAGTCATTAATCTCCCCACCTTCTTATTATCCATACTGTGTTGAATACATTGTGAAATATCTGGGTTCTTTTTCCTCCCCTCCTAAGGCTAGTTACAGAGATCACTACAGCCTTGAACCACCCGGACCAGACAATATAAACACAGCGGAGCTGCTCCTGAGAAGTCAGTTGGCGGCTCCAGGCTTCGTGGTCCCAGGCACCCAGCATTGCAGGTCAGTAGTGGACATGCAGCACTCTCCCCTCCATGCTCCACTCTGCTCTCCTTTCTTCTCCTCTCTGCCAGTATCTTAGAAATGTTGCCTCTTGGTTCCTCCTGGCAAAGTGGCCTGGGTAACGAGGAATCCCCTTCACTGAACATGGGGTGCACATAAGACTCAGAGCAGAGAGAGGGATTTGAAGAGGGGTAGAGGGTAAGTCAAATCAAGGCTTTAAAGTATTTTAAACTACAGATTTTAGAAAGTCATCTCAGAGGGAATCTAGGCTAGTGGAATTTAAGAAGTGTTTACAGGAGCTTGACATCCTTCGAGATGCCCAGGGCCAGGGCCAGCTTTTGAGAAAAGGAAACCAGCAGGGAACTGGGGTCTCTACACTGCCTGTTCTGTAAGAGCCAATCCCTTTAGCCATTTTACATGTATTAGGTCTCTGTGTAAATTTTTTCTTATTTTTTAAAGAATATAAAATAGAGAAAAAAACAGCATTAGAAACAGTACAAAATTTCACTAAAGAACGTAATAGGAATTCAACAATGATTGCTGTATTGCATGATGTTATCTTCAAATTAGTTGCTCATTTTTCTAAAAGAACTGAAATCATCATACCACAGCAATATGTATGCAGCCGTGCGCATAGCAACACAATTTGTCAGAACAAAATCTTGGAAACGACCCAAATGCCCATCATCTGAAGAACTGATAAAAAAAAAAAGATGTGGTATTTTTACACTGTGGAGTATTCTTCAGCTATAACAAAGATAAATTCAAGGCTTTTATTGATAAATGGAGGCAACTAGAGACTATATCGGTACGTGAAATAAATCAGATCCACATGTGCGAATATCATGTTGTCTCACTCGGGTGAGGACCTGAAAGAAAAATGAAAATTTGCATAAAAATTTCACTGTGAAACTTAAAACAGTTTTGGAAAACAGCGACCTTGCCCAACATCTCATTACAATGATTATAAATTGGAGGCCCAGGGACGAAAGCCAGCAAGAAAAATCAGGAGCAAAAAATTGGTAGCACAGCTAAGTCTAGAACACAGCCTCGGCATTCGTGTGTCCTGTGAGAATTTCTGTGTCCTGCTGGGAAGTAGCTATGTATGTCAGGGCGGCTGGAGAGAGCTGCAAGCGTGGTGCAACCCACGCGGTAAACATCTTAATGTGTAACAAGAAAGAATACAGTAAAATTTCATAGGAGTTCAAAACAGTGTGGGAATAGTAAAGAAAGGACTCATTAAACCCTGAGTCATACATAGTTTGACCTAAAAAGAATCTTAACAACCACATAATCTAATCCTTTGAGGTTATAGACGTCAGTCTTGAGGTTTAGTGGTCAAGTGTCTTGACCTTGTGTCCGAACTCTTGCTTTGAGCCAATAATTAACTGGGGAAAGCTAGAACACCAAACACGGATACATTGATATATGTCCAGTGATCTGAATACTGAGAGATCTGAAAGGACTGTGACACGAAGAGGTGAATTTGGAGACAAAGAAACCCAAGATGTTGCTGGCCACGGCCACTGAGGAGATGGGAAAGGGGTCATGTTACCTGGAGAAGTGGTTTGGCGTCCACAGAGAAGTAAGATATTGTCATACAAGTAAATCAGGGTTCAGTGGGGGCAAAGTGGACCACAGCCATCTGCTTGTAGGTGCGTGCCTTTCAGTGTATGTGGATTTAAATGGGGTTATACATACGTGTTTTTCACAGCCTCTGTTTTTTTGAGGAAATTTTATGTCATAAAATGTTCTTCTGTAATACCACTTTAATGTACACATAGGTCTTATTTTATGTATTGGTCATACTTTTAGAATCAATTGCTTGATTGACATTTAGGTTGCTTCCGACTTCGCGGTATTATAAAGGGTAACGTGGTGAACGGCTTTAAATGTTGGGAAGTCCTTCACTTTTCCATAGAACAGCGTGTGCAGGCATAAAATATAAGGCATGCACTAGGACTTTGACTCATAATACCAACATCCATCCACCCGCTCTTTTTCCGGGCTCTGTTATCTTTCACTCTCACCAACTCTTAAACTGCCTTGAAGCCCTGCGACTTGCCCGAGATAACACCAGCAGATCCTGTGCTGAAAGCCATCTTATCTACAGTCCTGTTTCTTCTAACACCCAGGCCTCAGATCTCAGTGCTGAGGTCACTGATCTGCTATCAGCCTCACCCTGTTCCCCTTACCTGCCTCCCCAAAAGCTGTACTCACTCTTCCCCATCTTCCCACCCTCCCTTCCTGTCTCCTATTTTCTACTTTCTTGTATGTTTTTTCTCTTTCCACTTCTTACTTAGTGAGAATCAGATCTATTCAGGACTCATCCTTACATTTACTTTTTTTTGTTTGTGTTTGTTTCCACACGACATTCTGGACTGGCTTTTCTTCTTTTTTTAATCTTTTATTTTTTTATTTGGCAGAGGGTCTTGCTATGCAGTTCAGACTCCTATTGATCCTCCTGTCTCAGCCTCTCCAATGCTGGGATTACAGGCGTGTCCTACTAGTTTGAACCCAGGTCCTTGCACTTGCCAGACAAGTGATTAGACCATGAGCTATCTCCTCAACCCCTGGATTGGTTATTCTGAAGGTGGTGTCATGTCAAGCAAGGACTCTGGGTTAGGATGCTTCAACAGGAAAGAGCAGGGTCTAGTGAAATCTAGTTGCCTGGGGTTTCCCATGCAGATATTCTTTTCACTTTAGTTATTTACCCTCAGAAACACAGGTCTTTGTGTCCCAAGCCTGTCCTGGTTCCAGCCCCAGGGGTGATGTGGCCTAAGTCTCCCGGGAGACCCCGGCTGTTCCTCCTGGAAATGCTGCTCTTCCCTTTGCTCTGGGCTCCAGGCTTCTGGTAGCTCACCTCTTTCTTGCTAGGTAAGAGAACAGGATTGCAGAGACATTCGGGCCAGGCTGGGAATGGGACTGGAACTGCTCTGGTTTTATCCTAGGAACTGTGGGCCTGGAATACATCTTACCCCGCTCTCAGTCAGAGCAGTGTTCTGGTTAAGGTATTTGGGGGGAATCTGGCTTCACCTGCTCCCAAGTGAAGAACAGGTAGAGTTGCCTGGAGCTTGACTGGGGGAAACTGGCAACCTAATTACAATTAAGTGGCTTTGCATCCTACACTTGGGCAATTCTGAGCCCTGTGCTTCTGTTTCTGCATTCATCTATCTGCCATTTTTTTGTACCAGGAATCGAATTCAGGACCTTGCACTTGCCAGGCAGGTGCTTGTACCGATGAGCTATATCCCTAGCCCCTCTCTGCCTTCTCTAACAGCCCTTTTCTGCTTTCCCTTAGTGAAGACCAGACACCCCTGATTGCAGGAATGTGCTCACTCCCCATGGCAAGATATTACATGTAAGTCATCCTGGTGAGGCCCCACTTTCCCACTCAGGGGTCTGGGATCATGTGGGAAGAAGAAACAAAGACTGAGTCAGAGGGAGGGAGGCTCCTTCTGGCTGAGAAACCTGAAGTGACCCATAATTATGCTTTGGTGTCACCACAGTATCAATAGCTCTCTTTCCTGCATGTCTCCAAATGCCCATCATTCTGCCCCTCACCTCTATTCCAAGGTATATGTAAGAGGAGAAGACTGGCCCCATTTTACAGATCTGGAAAGAGAAGCTCCAAAAAGTGAAATAACTTCCATAGGGTGCAGAGGCAGCGGTCAGGCTCCACATCCTCCATGCTGTTCTACT